CAGGGGGGCGCATGGAGGACGAGGGGGCCTACGGAGCACCGGAAGAGACCACAGAGTGCGGGAGTGCCCAGGGGGACTCATGAAGCGAGGGGGGGTTTCGCCAAGAGGCCCATGGAGGGCGAGGCAGAGCGTGGAGGGCGCAGGGGGTGGTGCACACGCCAGGTGAAATAGAGACAGATACTGCTCAGAAGGCGTTTACCAGTCTGGTGGCTCTCTGTAGTCAGCCAAAATTATCCTGTCTTTGAGTAAATGCTTTCTAAATATACTCTCAAGGCCAAGTAACAACTAACACTGGCTAATAAAATAAGGTCAGTGTATTGCCACCAAAGCATCAAGGATTATTGTTGATCTCTATTTTTCAAGTCACCACCATTCTAAATTTGAACCTATTAATGTCTGTAGTTAACTGACCATAAAATATGTTGACATAATAAGACCCTCAACGAGATGGACTGATACTGTGACTGTAATATTGGGCTCAAGCATACTGAAGTTGGAGATGGGGCAAGACAGAGCGAGCTTCAGATCTATTATTCTTAGGGTCACAGTGAGTTGACTCAATGGCACATAACAAAACCTGTTGATGGAAACAAGTTCAACATCATTCTAATGGCAAATGTCAAGAGGAGTATTAGTGTTGTTGATTGCCTTCAAGTCGAGCACAGGCCTGAAGCCCCTCTACAACTACTGACATTTATCAAAGTTCATAGAGTTTCCATAGTCATGTTATTTAGGAAGTGGATGCCACTCCTGCTTCCAAATCTGTCATAGTGTGTTATAGTTGTTATGTGTCATTGAGTCGCCTGTTATATATAGCAACCCTATGTACAGCAGCTCTGGAACCTTCCCTGTCCTGAGCCAGTCTTACTAACTCTGACACACCAACCCCTATCACCTCAGTCACTGTATCGATCCATCTTATCTGGGGTCTCCCTCTTCTGCACTGTCCATCCAGGCTTCCGAGCACGATATCCTTCTCCAAGGACCAATCTCTCCTGGCTCGCTACCTTAACCTCATCTTTCAGGAAAGGATATATATATATCTTCAGTCTCAAGCAAGCATCACCAAAGCATCAGATCTAGAAGAGACCTGTCCAGACCTGGGAATACAGTACAGCCTCAAGCAAAAATCTTTCTCTAAAGTTGGTACATGGAATTTGGACTTACATCCTCCTAAGCAAGAGGTGTACATCAGCGTGAGAAACCAGTAGCTGTGTGTAGTGCAAGGCATCACAGAAGTGACTGGTGATCATATTGAGAGGTGGCTGGGGAACAGAGGGTTTGACCAGGTAGCCTATTGTGCAAAGAATGGAGAGGTAGCAGGGAAAGAGGAGTATAGACGGGTAGATTTATTTGCAGCATGCAGAAAGACTTACGTAGAAATGCCATCATGCTAAGCCTATAAAGAGGTCTTGTGGGACAGTGCACGCTGTGTTGATCAGCTAACCAAAAAGTCGGCAGTTTGAATCCACACGTCACTCTGCAAGAATAAAGATGGGCAGTCTCCTTTTAAGATTTACAGCCTCAGCACAAACTGAGACTTGTACACCAATGTTCATAGCAGCATTATTCACCATCGCAAGAAAATGAAAACAGCCCAAATGTCCAACCACAAATGAATGGGTTGAGAAATTATGGTACATTCACACAATGGAATACCACGCAGCACACAGGAGCAATAACTTTGTAAATTATTACCCAACTTGGGAGGGACTGGAGAGCATTATGCTGAGTGAGCTAATTCAGTCCCACAAGGATAAATATTGTATAAAACCGTTATTGTAGAATGAGTATAAGGATCCAGGAGGGGTGGAAGAGGCTGGAAGCAGAGGGATGTGGATGTGCAGGGGGAAGAGGGGATTAATCATTGGGTTGTACAATTTGATGGGTGAGGGGGTGAGGGAAATTGAAAGAATTTGTTCGAATTTGTATTTGAATTTTGTAAATCAACTAGTAGAAAAATGAAGGGGGAAAAAGGGGGAAAGATTTACAGCCTCAGAATCCACTGGAGGTTCACTATGAGTCGAAATCAACTGGACAGCAGTTGATAATGACGGGTGATATCCTGTTCACTAACACATATCTATCTGTCTTGCTTGACTCTGCCTATGTATTCCTTTTAGTTAAAGTTTATTGTTCATGATAATGGTAGATTGTGTATCTAATAATATTTGCCTATGGCATTAGCTGTCCACGGGCGGATGGTTTACCTCAGGTCTCTCCCATCACTCTGTGTGTCTCTTCCTGTACCAGTGCCACACTGATTTATGTAACTTGACTGTGCAGTAGGTTGTGAGATCAGAAGTGCAGGTGTCCTACTCTTCTTCATCTTCAGGACTTTATTTATCCAGAGTTTCTTTCTTTCCCATATAAAGTTGTTGAATATTTTTTCCATCTCTTTAAAGAATGATGACTGGATCTGGACTGAGAGAGATAAAAGGTATTGTAGGACATACTCTTGGGAAACACCCCTTTCATCATATCAGGACTGTGATGAGATTAAATGGTGTTGCATTTCACCCTTTATCCTTTTATAACTTTTGGTTTATCAGACCATGGGGTATTAAAATAGCTTCTACATTATATTATTACATATATATTTTTTTTTTTGTGGGGACACAATCCAATGCCCAGAAGTTACAAAAACCATGTAATAATGGTGAGCTCATATCATGTTTGTCCATTTGTAATTGATTTCACTCAATATTATGTCCTTCAGTGCCTGGTACAAATACTGTGTGTTTGATGCCTCTTAGCACCACTGTGAAGCTGTTTATTCCTCCTCTCAATCTGTCAGTGTCTCCTTTATGTATTTTGAGGCTCTTTCATTGGGTCTATAAGTATTTCCTATAGCTATGTCTGTATGCTGGCTTGATGCTTTGTTCATTATATTTTATCTCTCTTATCCCTTTTGCTGGTTTTTGCTTTGGAATCTGTTTTATCAAAAATTAATATTTTCTTTTGGAGTCTGTCTTATCAGAAATTGCCACTCTTGCTCTTTTTATGTTGCCATTAGTTTGATTTCTTTTTCTCCATTCTTTGTTTTTTTGGGGGGTGTTTTGTTTGAGTTGGTTTTTTAGTTTTGGGGTTTTTTTAACTTAATTTTATTTTTGCATCTAAACTCAGTCTGTTGAAAACACCAAATTCTTAGGCCTCTTTTCATATTAATTCTTTCACTTTCTTTCTCTTTACTGGTGTGTGGTATGTCCATTTATATTCAGATTCATTTTTGTACAAATGCACTGATTGCATTTGTGTGTGTGTGTGTGTGTGTGTGAATGTGGTCTTAATTACTTCTTTTT